GTGCGTGTGGGTCCTGGTGCAAATAACTGACTACGGTAAGCAAAAATTCATTCTCTTATAAGCATAAAAAAAACGCCCTAGTCACAGCAAAATTGCTCACTATTTCAGCCTCTTGGGGTAGGAAATTAAAAAAGGGATCGCGGCAGAAAAAAGAATAACAGAGGAAAAAAGAATGGGAGAAAAACATCGCCTCATCACTCGACGATTTGCTGGTTGTGTGCGGGTCCTAGAACGAATGATTGCAATCTGTATTGCTTCAACGCTTGTCTGACGTGACATCGATCGAGAGGCGGGAAAGCCGGTCAAGTCAACAATCGAGATTTTGGAAGCGAGAGGGTCCCTTCTACCACCTATAAGGGCCACTGAGTATTCCTAGGGGAAGAACTCAGCAACCATTTTTATCGTGAACCGCACCTTTAATGAGGGGCCAAACGGAGGAATCAAGTGAGTTCAGAACTGGAAATCAGGATGGTCATTTCTCTTTGCCAATGAAGTCGGGCAGCTAGCGTCCCGGGCGAGCTTGGCTCTATGGGTTGGAATATCGTTCTGCTGGGAGAACTGTTTTATGAAGCGTTGTCGGATCAGCACTTCATGAAGTTCATCAGTATGTCCTTTGAGTGCAGGTCTTTCTCAGTTTTTACTCCGGCCACGAGCGTCTTACCCGTGCCAGTGACTCACTGAAAAAACATATTTTGTTGTCCCAATAGCAGCTTTTTGTGAAGGGTTGTGCGTTCGATGTTTTTATTTAGAACGTGATCGTTTTATTTGTTTAGGAGTGGTTTTCTCGTAAAAAGTTTTCAGCTGAAGGAAATGATAAAGGGTTGCGTGTCTCGACTCGAGTGAGCCAGCACCCTTCTGCGCTGTTCGGCCCTATGCTTTCTGCTGGGATTTGAAAGATTTGATGCGACATTTCTGCATGCATAACTCACGGCAATGAAGTTTTTGCTTGACAACACCGTCCGGGTTTTGATGGGTCACTCAAGATCACGATCGACACGCAAACGGACCGTTCGAATAGTCTTCCTTCAGAAACGCTGGCTCTTCTCACCTGTCTTTGATTCGTTCTTCTTTTCTGTATCATTTGATAGCCTTCTGTAAGGATACCATAGAAATCAGAAAGAATTGCGTAATGCCCTTCCGCCCTCGCGTAGCAATGATTGCAGGTGGCATTGAATAAGCCTCGGTCATCTAAAAGATATAAAGAGGCATTTTGCAAGGAAACCTTCTTATGTTACTAATTTGTAGCTAGTGAAAGGAATTTGATGAACTACAGGGTGGCTGAAAAGTATAGGACGCCACATTTGTACGCGTAATTTCAAAAATAGAGACCAGAGAGACAAATCAACTTTATTAAGGAATAGAGTAGAACTACAAGATCACTTAGGACAGCAGGTGTTCAAAGTTTGATCCTTTTGCTCTTACACAAGCCTTCAGACGGTCGATGACTGAATCGACCGTACGCCGCAGGTAGTCGACGTCGATATCGTACCACGCCTTCTGAAGCGCCCAACTTCAGAGCGTCCAACGTGCGGTAGGTGCGTCCACCAATTTGACTCTCCAAGTACCCCCATATAGAGAAGTCCAACGAGTTGAGGTCTGGCGAAGAGGAAGGCCAGATTTCTTTGCCCCAGTAACCGGGGAAGGGCGCGTCCAGTACGGCTTTGTCGACTTCGAGGCATGAGGAGGGGCCCAATCTTGCTGAAGGACGAACGATCGGTTTCGAAGGTGTTCAGTGACCCAGGGTAACAGAGTGTACATTACAACTACCTTTTGGTGGACCTCGGAGTTGGTTTTCACATTTCTGTCGATGAAGACCAAAGGTGTTTTGCTTTCTGATGTCACCCCGGCCCAAACCATAACACTTTTGGAAGATAGCCTGCTGTGCACAAAACAACGTTTTGGGGACCTGCTGTCAGCTTTTGACAACAACCGTCTCTGGTTTTGACAGTTTAATCTCTGACGTGATCTGGACTGATGATAAAATTTTCACCGTAGTGTTCTACGGTGAAAATATTTTTATCAGTCCAGATCACGTCAGAGTTGCACCGCACCCTGAGCTCTCGAAAACGTTTTTTGCATTTTATCAGTCGACTTTGCTTGGACTGCTCTAAAAGAAACTGTCCTCGACGGAGCCGATGACTGTTCATCTTGAGGTCTCGTTTCACAAATTTCTGGACGGTTTGACAGCTGATGTTGAGGTCGGGAGCAATCCGATTCATGCTGACTCCTTCGTTGCGGGTGATCCTCTTNTGATGATGTCACGAATCCTCGGTATGTTCACTGTTCTCGGTCGTCCCCTTTTTGGCATCTAAGAGGCATGTCTTCGTTTCCTGAAAGCAGCGGCAACATTCCGTACGGTTGAAGATGGAACACCGAGTCGTTTCGCGGTGTCGCAGCTCCTGCAACCTTCTCTGAGCAGCTTCTCGATAGTGGGTCGATGCGCAGAAACTTTCGTAGTGATTGTTCGGACGAACGGTCGATCAAATGACTTATATGGATTCTTGTACAGATCCCGCGCTTTCTAAAAGTCCCAAAAGATTTTGAAAATACCCACTGGCAAGCAGCCAGGAAGCGCCAAACGGCGCGTCTTATACTTTTCAGCCACCCTGTATTTCCACCTTATAGGTTTCTGAATTTTAGCGCTCATATTTTTGGGACACCCTGTATTTTTGTCCAAAAAACGCGAAGCGAGCGCGCGAAAATGATCTAGAGTAATATAAGGCTTCCAAATAGAAGTAAAATTAGGGGTTGGGCAGGAATATGACGAAAGAAGTTTCATGAAATGGGTATCTAGACGAGCTATCTAAATGTGTATGCGGTTGCGTACAGCTTGCTATAAGGTTGATGCATAATTACGCGAATTTTTTTCAGCAAACTTTACTTTAAGAAACGATAGAAATGTTTAGCAAAGACATGTTTGAATAATTACTTTAGAACGCATCCACCATATACGTCATGCACTGCTTCCCATTTGCTTAGCAGGCAAATTCTTTAAGTGATAGAGTTTCGATTCTTGGAGGCGATTCACGCCTTGACGTCGGCCATGAGTCATCCATTTCGTCGAAAGTTCTGTTAGTTAGCCAATTTTTCAACGGACGATTGACGTGATAATCTAAAGGAGTTTCTGTTGGTGAATAAGGCGAACGTAGAAGCAGACTCCAATCTTTATTCGGCTTACACTGACTGTTCCATCCACGAGAAGTTCGTTGAACTCACTTTATGAGTATACCACCTTCCCCCACTTTTCTCGAAGTGATAGAGCATAATGTGACGCAAATGAAGATAACTTCCTAGACATATTTCTTGACCCATTGCGTATCGTGGGGTTTCCGCGCTGGCTGGAGCGTGTGCCCGGCGTCACTTTCGTAATTGAAGCGGCGTGACTCACGGTATGCAGCACGCGGCCACACAGCAGTTTTTTGCAGCAAATCGCAAGGTATGCTTCATTTTGAACTCTGGGGTAATTTTGCACACAAAACTCTCTTTCGAACAAAAATTACTTCAGTAGACAGCACTGGATGAGTTGAACCACTCATTTGGCGATCTGCTTATCGAAAGTGGTGACGAATTCGATGAAGGAGGGGATGTCTTGGACGACATGATTGTGAATGCTGTAGAGTAAAGTGAGGAGCTGGACTGGAATTGCAGTGATGAACAGTCGGATTCGAGCGATGAAGGAATTCAATGGTTTCCAACATCCATCCAACATCCAACAACGAAGGCGAGATCAATCCCGTTTTCAAGGGTGTGAAGGGGTACTGGATAGAGAAATACTAGGCTATCAGCATCCCATCCAAGTTTTCCGGAGATTTTTGATCGGGTAGATCATAATAGAAACGAATAGATACGGATTCTCAAAGTATTCTGATTGGACGGGTATTGACGAAGAAGAAGAAGAGAAGAGGTATTCAAGTTTCTGGCTATCTGTTTTCAAATCGGGTGGAGATCAGATCTAATATGAAGGATTATTGGCCCTCGAGGAAGATATTTAGTGAATCATTTGCAGCAAAGCTTATTTCTAGAAACCGATTTGTCCAAATGCTGAACGCCTTCCATTTCGCCGACAATGACGCTTCTGACAAGTCTGACAGACTCTTCAAAATCCAACCAATTCTGGACATGCTCAACGAGGAATTTGTTGCTGTTTATAGTCTGGGCAAGAATGTATGCATTGATGAGAGCATGATTCCATTCCGAGGTTGAGCCATATTCCGGGAGTATATTCGAGGCAAGCGCCGCAAAGTCGGGATAAAGGTTTATTACTGATATGGCAAAAGACTAGTTACGTCGGAACTCTGAGGAAAAACTGGCTCGGAATACGTGCAGTTATCGAAAACGCGTGGCTGAAGAGGGGAGAGGTTGTGGCTGGACAAAACAGCAAAGGCGTGACTGTGCTAAAATGGAAGAACAAGAGGGAAATATACATGTTATCGACGTGCCTCGATGCGTCCAAAGGTCAATCCGATAAACCAGCTATGGTAGGAGACTATAATTTGGCGAAGGCGTCCGTTCACCTATCAGACCAAATGTGTTCACACACACCTTTTGTTAGAAAAACGACGGAGTGGTACTTACGCCTTTTCTTCCACCTGGTTACTCAAACTAGCATGGTCAACGCCTGGCATGTATTTTGCGTAGTGAAGGAAAGAATTTCTATCAAACACTTCAAGTGCCGCATCATTGAGTCCATTCTAGAAGGATGGAGACTTGCAAAACCCACAACGTCAAGATACAAACTTCGCGAAGTTACTGGACCAAAAAGGACATCTAGGAGAAGATGCGTAAATTGCTACAAGGCTACAAGAACGCTTCCCGAATTCATGGTGCTCCGTATGCTAGAAGTCACGTTATGTTAGTGAACACAAAGTGCTCGAAATGTGGTCAATTTTTTGGCTTAGTTGTTTTCAGTCATCTCACAAGAAATGCTCCGTTTGATTTTTGTAAATATTTTCTAATATTGTAATATTCAGTACGTAATATTTCGTAATATGTTAAATGTAGAAGTAAAGAAGATTGCAATTGAAAAACTGCGCAAAGAAGAATGGATAGTCCAAGAATTACTTCAGATCTCGCAATCCCACGTATATATGCTACTCTCTAGGGTCAAATATGTATGCATACTCGCTTTTCTGGAGCACAAAAAAGTTGAAACAGATAAAAGGGCCAAAACAGTAGCGTGCTGCACCATGTGAAGCACGCGGTACGAAATGGGTTGAAGGAAAGTAATATGTTTATTTCTATATCTAGAGAAAAGAAGCCGCGAAAACCTCCGCAGTAATAATGCATCAACCTATCACAATTATCTGCCTGCTCGCAACATGTGCATCCCAGTGCGAATGGTACTATCTCTACATTCTCCACAACGCCGTGGGAATTCGTCCGCCTTTGAGTGTCCTGTATGTTGACTAAGCCAGTTTTGAGACCATTGCTACGCCCTATCTATCTTTCCGACCTGATAGTGGCCCTTTGACTACCCTTGGAGGTTACAGGTTCATATAAAATAAAATTCCAGGAAAGGTTCTTAAGGTGAGCTGTGTCTCTGAGTTATGTTTCTGGAAAAAAGATGGGTGGACAAGTGTTGGCTTTCAGGTCTCTTGTGCACCACTTATGAGCGCATTTTCAGGTTTGGACTTCGACAGGAGAGCGCGCCGTTGACGGTATGTCACTGGAGGCGTATGTTGGGCAGGTAAGCATGCTTTTTAAAGTCTGGAGAAACAGAAAATTTGAGCTAGTAAGGATGCACCTGAAATTTGCCGTCACACAGGGTAGTTTTTTTTTGCACCATCATCTAAGTAACTGAGTGACGTCGGATGGGGTGATGTAGTAATTCTTGG